AGGCAGTAACGGAAGACCAGTAGACGACGGGAGAACAGAGTCAGGCAGGGCGGACGGGCGACGCGACGGGCTGGGACAGCCCGTACGAGCGAAGCGACGGACAAAGGCAGGGCGGACGGGCGACGCGACGGGCTGGGACAGCCCGTACGGGCGACGCAACGGGCCGAGGTAGGGCAGACGGGCGACGCGACGGGCTGCAGGGGCGCGCGACGCCAGGCAGAGCAGAGCGTGCGCGGGGCAGCGCAACGCGGGGCAGGGCACGGCGTGCGCGGGGCAGCGCAACGCGGGGCAGGGCAGGGCGTGCGCGCGGGCGGCGCAGCGCAGGCAAGGCAAGGCAAGGCGCAGGCAAGGCAAGGCGCGGCGCAGGCAAGGCGCAGGCAAGGCAAGGCAAGGTGCAGGCAAGGCAAGGCGCGCGCGGGCAGCGCAGCGCAGGCAAGGCAAGACGCGCGCGGGCAGCGCAGCGCAGGCACGGCAAGGCGCGCGCGGTCGGCGCAGCGCAGGCAACACGTGGGGCAGCTCAGTAACCACAACGGTAGGTGGGCCCGAAAAAAAAAAACGGTCCTACGGACCTACTGCTCTGATACCATATCAGTAGTCTAGGCAGGAATGAATGAACTAGCAGCATGATGGGTACAAGTAGGAAACCCTAATCTGGGTTGTACCCCATATGGGCTACAGCCTACACAATAAGCAGCATATATGTTTGACAAGAATGTGATGTTTGTCTAGCCTGCAGTGGGGTACTCTATAGTGAGTACAGCCCAAATTAGGGTTTGCTATATGTACTCAACTGCCTGCTAGTGAAAACCCCTCTTTGCTGTTTCTGATTCTCGCCTACTATTTCGACAGACGTGCCCCCGATCATCACTGGCGCGCCATCCGTGGACATACTAGAGATCTTCTGCAAGTCGACGCCGACCGTCTCGAGATGCTGGAGCAGAGTGCCCAAGAGCGCTGCAGCATCACACTGCTGGACGGTTAGTAACGCGAGAAATTCGGTTACAACCACGTTGTTCTTGAGGAACGTGACAAACACAATCATGTGTTTGCCACGTGCGCGATCGGTACTCTCATCGCACATGAGGCCGATGAAGGGCGAGGCGTGGAGGTGGTGCAATTGTTCTCTGGTCAGGCACACGGTGAGAGCCCTGATCATCTCGGAGAAACCGTACCTGCAAAAACACAATGCACAACGCCTTAGCATCAAGTGACGCAAATGTTTGCTTTAAATAAATTCAACACAACAACTCACTGTGTGATATTGTCAAGATAAGAACGTACTTAGATACTAGGGTTTAACTAGGGCCTAGTCTTAGGAGCCTAGGCCCAACGAGGATCGAGGGAGTTTGTACAAGGATGAGGAGAATGGAGTGGAGTTCACTATAGCACACACGGTACATATAGCAATCTAACAAAGAAGGTGCACCACCAACAGTTCATAATGATGACTACAGTAACTACAGCAAGCAGGATATTATATAACTTTGACACACCCCCTTAGCCTGCTTGCGGTAGGAACTGGTGCAGTCGGCACCCCCTGAAGGAGTGCACCGAGGACAGAAGATGAGGAGAGGAGGTGGGGGGCCAGTGCCGGCGGACCCGCTTAAGAACCCTTTTTACGAAGGGGGAGGTGAGAGAGGAAAGGGAGAGGAGGTGGGCTAGGTGGGCATGAGCGCGCACGCTCATAGCGATCCCCCCCCGTTAATAACCCCCAAGTCCCGATGAGGAGAGGAGGTGGGCTAGGTGGGCATGAGCGCGCAAGCTCAATGCGATCCCCCCCCGTTAATAACCTCCAAGTCCTCACCCCCCTTTTCAGTCAACCCCTTTAGCCTCACCAACGGGATGCACGAACGAAGACGGTCAGCAACGCTTGAGATGAGGCACGAGCGGACAAGGGTAGCACGGGAGCACGGAAGCACGGGAGCACGGAAGCACGGGGCAGCATGGGATGAGGCACGAACGGGCACGGGTAGCACGGACAGATACATGAGCCAAACGAACGAACACGGGCAGAACAAACAAACACAGGCAGAACGAACGAACACAAGCAGAACGAACAAACAAAGGCAGAACGAACGAACACAAGCAGAACGAACAAACAAAGGCAGAACGAACGAACACGAGCAGAACGAACAAACACGGAGCAGCAAGAAATGGCACATACGGCACAAGAGGCACAAGACCGCGGATGAGAGGAGGAGGAGGCGGCTGATGCTGCAGCTGGACTTGAACCTCCCCCCCACAGTAGCAGCAGCGGCAGAGAGAGAGAGAAGAGGAGGAGCAATAGCGGTAGGAGCTGCAGCTGGACTGATGGCTGCTCACACCCGCCACCCCCACATCTCCCCCATCCCCTCCCCCCTCTACGGAAGCAGCGGAAGGGAGGGCGGGGGGGTGGGGCGGCGGTAGCCGCTGTTTTCGCTGGCGGAGGCGCAGGCAGTGGCGCAGGCGCTCGCGCTCGCGCTTGTCACTAGCGTCCGTGCGGGCGCTGGCGCTTGCGCTCGCGCTTGTCGCTGGCGTCCGCGCGGGCGCTGGCGCTTGCGCTCCGCACTGGCGCAGGCGCTGGCGCTCGCGCTTGTCGTCCGCACAGACGCTGGCGCTCGTCGACAGCGTCCGCGCTGGCGCTTGCGTTCCGCGCTGTGGCTGGTGGCAGTCGCAGGTGCTGGCGCTGGCGCGGATCGACGGGCAGGGCGACAGGCGCGACGGACGGGCAAGGCGCACGGGGGGCCGCGATGGACGGGCAGAGCGCACGGGGCACGACGGACGGGCAGGAAAGCGCAATTTCGCCAGCGAGGGTGCGACGAGGCGAGCGTAGCGCGACGGGCCAGCGAGGCGCTCACCATGGGTAAAGAAAGAAGACTTAAACCCGAGGAACGGGTGGCTCTGATAACATGTCAAGATAAGAACGTACTTAGATACTAGGGTTTAACTAGGGCCTAGTCTTAGGAGCCTAGGCCCAACGAGGATCGAGGGAGTTTGTACAAGGATGAGGAGAATGGAGTGGAGTTCACTATAGCACACACGGTACATATAGCAATCTAACAAAGAAGGTGCACCACCAACAGTTCATAATGATGACTACAGTAACTACAGCAAGCAGGATATTATATAACTTTGACACATATACACTCCGTAGCTTTGACGCGGTATGTTGGCGACCCCCTCTTCGGCGAGAAGCTGAACGACCTGAGGGTACATGTGGATGGGTGTGTCCGTACGGCATACAAATCGCATGGAGCGCATGAGAACCGCGACGCGGCAACCTTCGGGATCACCCTTCACGAAATCTTCGATCTTTTTCTGGTCCACGATTATCTGCAGAAGGTTGGCCTGCCTGTTCATCGCATCTTCGTGTTTCGCGCTATTCTCATGCCACCGCATCGATCCGATCTGCAGATCACGTCCGCCAGCGCCATTGCGACCGTAACGCGCGTTGTCCTTCCCGTGCTCCATGCAGACACTGCATCGCAGACACGGGTCACCCTCTGGCGTCTTGTCCAGAATCAGCCAATCGAACTTCGGCAGCCAATCCGACGTGTAACTCTTCTGCGCCTTCAGGTACGCCTTCTCCTTCTTCTCCTCGTCTGAAAGGGGACGAATGGGGGGTGGGGCAGGACGGGGAGGGGGAGTGACAGGCTTCGGCGGCGGTGTTCCCGCCTGCAGAACCTGCTGCGTATATCGTCGCTTTTTCGGAGCAATTGTACCGGTCGACTCCGGAGTGGCCGCATCGATAACCTGTGTAGCAACCGTCGCAGCCGGCTCTGCAGCAACCTCGTTTCGCGGCGAGGCGACCCACTCCTCAACACCGTCTGACTCTGCAGCGTCATTCATCGGGCGCGGAGATGAACACCATGCGTCGTTCCCATCTTCCATGTCGCCAGATTCCATGCGAGGACGTCGCACCCATTCGGTACCGACATCGCCCAGCGCCTCTTCATCGCGAACGTGAACTTCATGCACACCGCGCAGAAACTGAAGCCCAGTCACAGGGGGTGTGCTACAAGACGGCCTGTCGTCGGGATCAGCCGCGTCTCCCTCGACATCGCTAGAATCCATGGTCTTCATAGCTAAACAAAGCTGCAGGAGGCGGGGCTGTGGCAAGAGAAGCCCACTGTACACTTGCTAGACTGGAGCGTTGAACATCATTGCAGTGGGAACCAACATAATAGGAGGACTGAAACGGGTTTGGTGGTGACCCCGTCTGCCAGCCGGGCAACAGGTGAGGATGTGCGCGCCGCGCACGAAATCGGTGCACCTAAGAAAGCTGCCGTATCATGCCCATAAGCTGAGGATTGTTCAAAGCAGTGGGAGTACGCAAAGCCAGCGATGTATCTCGTGGGTGGCTGCCTGCGTGCACTGGCATGAAATATGCCTTTCCGGCCAATCAGAACCTCAGGTAGTGCCAACAAACGAGCGAAACAAGTGTGATATCCCCTGCGCTTCGATCAAAACCGGGAGGACGGGGATAAGGGGGAATGTGGGGGTTCGGGGGTACATGTATCCCCCGTACAGAGTAATCTCACTATCCAGGAAAGAAACACTGGCGCTTCAGAGTGAACTTTCACAAAAACCCTGACAGGTCAGAGAACAAGTATTTCTAAAAAAATATAAGGTACCCAGCAGGTACAGAGTGACCCCCCAAAAACCACTCTGATTTTCAGAGAAACAGAGTAAATTACACTGATAAAAAAACCCCTATCCTCTCTTCCTGCTCGGTGTGTTATCAGACGCTTTGTACCACAATGCAGTTCCGGGCAAAAACCATGTGCAATGAACACAATTTGCAAACCGCACGAGGTACACTGTTCACACACCTGTTCCAAGCGTGCCATGTTTCCCTGCTATTGTTTTTTCGCAGATTGGCAAGGGTCTTGTGGGATCCAATAAACGCGGTAACCCTTCCATTGTTGGAACATTGTCATGAATTCGCATGTGGATGCGCCACACCTTTCAACTTCCGATTAGCTCCAATGTGATGCGTTCCTACAAAGCCAATGGATCATTCACACCATTGTCCTTCCAAGCTTCTTCTCAAAGAGGCGCCTCAACAGGTAGACCTGCAGAGGAGGATGGGGTGAGCGGCAGTGAGGAGAGCTGGTCTGCATGCTATCGTGCCTTGCCGTGTGCGCATAGTGGAGGGAAATGCAGGGAGGTGGAGCATGTGGGGGGACGGGGAGGGGGCGTGCCTGCAGGAAGGAGCAGGTGATGAGGGCGAGCGACTGCACGGCCGTCTTCACCACCAGCTTCCGCGTCGTCGCCTGCGCCACTGGTCAGGGGGAACACCGTGGCATGGAGGGGGTGGGGGGGGAGGGGGGGGGGTGGTGTGGGCGGGAGGGGCGGGGGGTGGAGCACATGTGACGGAGAGCAGAGCGTGCGAGCAAGAGGGTGTGCAGCGTGTGCCTTGAACGATGCGTGTGCCTTGAACGATGCATGTGCCTTGAACGATGCGTGTGCCTTGAACGATGCGTGTGCCTTGAACGATGCGTGTGCCTTGAACGATGCGTGTGCCTTGAACGATGCGTGTGCCTTGAACGATGCGTGTGCCTTGAACGATGCGTGTGCCTTGAACGATGCGTGTGCCTTGAACGATGCGTGTGCCTTGAACGATGCGTGTGCCTTGGACGATGCGTGTGCCTTGGACGATGCGTGTGCCTTGAACGATGCGTGTGCCTTGAACGATGCGTGTGCCTTGAACGATGCGTGTGCCTTGAACGATGCGTGTGCCTTGAACGATGCGTGTGCCTTGAACGATGCGTGTGCCTTGAACGATGCGTGTGCCTTGAACGATGCGTGTGCCTTGAACGATGCGTGTGCCTTGAACGATGCGTGTGCCTTGAACGATGCGTGTGCCTTGAACGATGCGTGTGCCTTGAACGATGCGTGTGCCTTGAACGATGCGTGTGCCTTGAACGATGCGTGTGCCTTGACCGATGCGTGTGCCTTGAACGATGCGTGTGCCTTGAACGATGCGTGTGCCTTGAACGATGCGTGTGCCTTGAACGATGCGTGTGCCTTGAACGATGCGTGTGCCTTGAACGATGCGTGTGCCTTGAACGATGCGTGTGCCTTGACCGATGCGTGTGCCTTGAACGATGCGTGTGCCTTGAACGATGCGTGTGCCTTGAACGATGCGTGTGCCTTGAACGATTCGTGTGCCTTGAACGATGCGTGTGCCTTGAACGATGCGTGTGCCTTGAACGATGCGTGTGCCTTGAACGATGCGTGTGCCTTGAACGATGCGTGTGCCTTGAACGATGCGTGTGCCTTGACCGATGCGTGTGCCTTGAACGATGCGTGTGCCTTGAACGATGCGTGTGCCTTGAACGATGCGTGTGCCTTGAACGATGCGTGTGCCTTGAACGATGCGTGTGCCTTGAACGATGCGTGTGCCTTGAACGATGCGTGTGCCTTGAACGATGCGTGTGCCTTGAACGATGCGTGTGCCTTGAACGATGCGTGTGCCTTGAACGATGCGTGTGCCTTGAACGATGCGTGTGCCTTGAACGATGCGTGTGCCTTGAACGATGCGTGTGCCTTGAACGATGCGTGTGCCTTGAACGATGCGTGTGCCTTGAACGATGCGTGTGCCTTGAACGATGCGTGTGCCTTGACCGATGCGTTTGCCTTGAACGATGCGTGTGCCTTGAACGATGCGTGTGCCTTGAACGATGCGTGTGCCTTGAACGATGCGTGTGCCTTGAACGATGCGTGTGCCTTGAACGATGCGTGTGCCTTGAACGATGCGTGTGCCTTGAACGATGCGTGTGCCTTGAACGATTCGTGTGCCTTGAACGATGCGTGTGCCTTGAACTATGCGTGTGCCTTGAACGATGCGTGTGCCTTGACCGATGCGTGTGCCTTGAACGATGCGTGTGCCTTGAACGATGCGTGTGCCTTGAACGATGCGTGTGCCTTGAACGATGCGTGTGCCTTGAACGATGCGTGTGCCTTGAACGATGCTTGTGCCTTGAACGATGCGTGTGCCTTGAACGATGCGTGTGCCTTGAACGATGCGTGTGCCTTGAACGATGCGTGTGCCTTGAACGATGCGTGTGCCTTGAACGATGCGTGTGCCTTGAACGATGCGTGTGCCTTGAACGACGCGTGTGGAAAGTGACAAGAACGCAAATGCATCCAAACAACCAGGTAGACAAATCTGGCTGTTAAAGAAATATAAGTTTTGGCATGGTGGCATGGTGGCATGGTGGCATGGTGAGGCGCTCACGCTGGTTCTGGCGCTCGGCCTGTGCGTGGAACCACTTGGCCTCGAGGAACACACTTTCGATGTGGTTGTGCAGCCCCGACAGCTTGGTCACTATGGGCAGTATGTGCTCTGGTGGGGTGCCCGGGGACACGGGGAGGGGAGGAGGGGATGGAGTGAAGGTGCACCAGGGCAGCAGCAGTGAGTGGTGATGAGTGGGATGACGAGAAGACGTGGGCAGAGCAGTGGCAGGAGGAAGCACTTGCTTGATTCCAAACGCTGCTCGAAGCAGGCTGTGCTGCCTGGAAGCAGGCTGTGCTGCCTGGAAGCAGGCTGTGCTGCCTGGAAGCAGGCTGTGCTGCCTGGAAGCAGGCTGTGCTGCCTGGAAGCAGGCTGTGCTGCCTGGAAGCAGGCTGTGCTGCCTGGAAGCAGGCTGTGCTGCCTGGAAGCAGGCTGTGCTGCCTGGAAGCAGGCTGTGCTGCCTGGAAGCAGGCTGTGCTGCCTGGAAGCAGGCTGTGCTGCCTGGAAGCAGGCTGTGCTGCCTGGAAGCAGGCTGTGCTGCCTGGAAGCAGGCTGTGCTGCCTGGACGTGGTTGCTGCCGCCAGGCAGTTTGGGACACTAGCATGCTACGAGGCGGCAAGGGGCAGAAAACAGTGGAATGGAGGGAGAAGGCGCAGGGAAACACTGGAATGGAGGGAGAAGGCGCAGGGAAACAGTGGAATGGAGGGAGAAGGCGCAGGGAAACAGTGGAATGGAGGGAGAAGGCGCAGGGAAACAGTGGAATGGAGGGAGAAGGCGCAGGGAAACACTGGAATGGAGGGAGAAGGCGCAGGGAAACAGTGGAATGGAGGGAGAAGGCGCAGGGAAACAGTGGAATGGAGGGAGAAGGCGCAGGGAAACAGTGGAATGGAGGGAGAAGGCGCAGGGAAACAGTGGAATGGAGGGAGAAGGCGCAGGCAAACACTGGAATGGAGGGAGAAGGCGCAGGGAAACAGTGGAATGGAGGGAGAAGGCGCAGGGAAACAGTGGAATGGAGGGAGAAGGCGCAGGGAAACAGTGGAATGGAGGGAGAAGGCGCAGGGAAACAGTGGAATGGAGGGAGAAGGCGCAGGGAAACAGTGGAATGGAGGGAGAAGGCGCAGGGAAACACTGGAATGGAGGGAGAAGGCGCAGGGAAACAGTGGAATGGAGGGAGAAGGCGCAGGGAAACAGTGGAATGGAGGGAGAAGGCGCAGGGAAACAGTGGAATGGAGGGAGAAGGCGCAGGGAAACAGTGGAATGGAGGGAGAAGGCGCAGGGAAACAGTGGAATGGAGGGAGAAGGCGCAGGGAAACAGTGGAATGGAGGGAGAAGGCGCAGGGAAACAGTGGAATGGAGGGAGAAGGCGCAGGGAAACAGTGGAATGGAGGGAGAAGGCGCAGGGAAACAGTGGAATGGAGGGAGAAGGCGCAGGGAAACAGTGGAATGGAGGGAGAAGGCGCAGGGAAACAGTGGAATGGAGGGAGAAGGCGCAGGGAAACAGTGGAATGGAGGGAGAAGGCGCAGGGAAACAGTGGAATGGAGGGAGAAGGCGCAGGGAAACAGTGGAATGGAGGGAGAAGGCGCAGGGAAACAGTGGAATGGAGGGAGAAGGCGCAGGGAAACAGTGGAATGGAGGGAGAAGGCGCAGGGAAACAGTGGAATGGAGGGAGAAGGCGCAGGGAAACAGTGGAATGGAGGGAGAAGGCGCAGGGAAACAGTGGAATGGAGGGAGAAGGCGCAGGGAAACAGTGGAATGGAGGGAGAAGGCGCAGGGAAACAGTGGAATGGAGGGAGAAGGCGCAGGGAAACAGTGGAATGGAGGGAGAAGGCGCAGGGAAACAGTGGAATGGAGGGAGAAGGCGCAGGGAAACAGTGGAATGGAGGGAGAAGGCGCAGGGAAACAGTGGAATGGAGGGAGAAGGCGCAGGGAAACAGTGGAATGGAGGGAGAAGGCGCAGGGAAACAGTGGAATGGAGGGAGAAGGCGCAGGGAAACAGTGGAATGGAGGGAGAAGGCGCAGGGAAACAGTGGAATGGAGGGAGAAGGCGCAGGGAAACAGTGGAATGGAGGGAGAAGGCGCAGGGAAACAGTGGAATGGAGGGAGAAGGCGCAGGGAAACAGTGGAATGGAGGGAGAAGGCGCAGGGAAACAGTGGAATGGAGGGAGAAGGCGCAGGGAAACAGTGGAATGGAGGGAGAAGGCGCAGGGAAACAGTGGAATGGAGGGAGAAGGCGCAGGGAAACAGTGGAATGGAGGGAGAAGGGGCAGGGAAACACTGGAATGGAGGGAGAAGGCGCAGGGAAACAGTGGAATGGAGGGAGAAGGCGCAGGGAAACAGTGGAATGGAGGGAGAAGGCGCAGGGAAACAGTGGAATGGAGGGAGAAGGCGCAGGGAAACAGTGGAATGGAGGAGAAGGCGCAGGGAAACAGTGGAATGGAGGGAGAAGGCGCAGGGAAACAGTGGAATGGAGGGAGAAGGCGCAGGGAAACAGTGGAATGGAGGGAGAAGGCGCAGGGAAACAGTGGAATGGAGGGAGAAGGCGCAGGGAAACAGTGGAATGGAGGGAGAAGGCGCAGGGAAACAGTGGAATGGAGGGAGAAGGCGCAGGGAAACAGTGGAATGGAGGGAGAAGGCGCAGGGAAACAGTGGAATGGAGGGAGAAGGCGCAGGGAAACAGTGGAATGGAGGGAGAAGGCGCAGGGAAACAGTGGAATGGAGGAGAAGGCGCAGGGAAACAGTGGAATGGAGGGAGAAGGCGCAGGGAAACAGTGGAATGGAGGGAGAAGGCGCAGGGAAACAGTGGAATGGAGGGAGAAGGCGCAGGGAAACAGTGGAATGGAGGGAGAAGGCGCAGGGAAACAGTGGAATGGAGGGAGAAGGCGCAGGGAAACAGTGGAATGGAGGGAGAAGGCGCAGGGAAACAGTGGAATGGAGGGAGAAGGCGCAGGGAAACAGTGGAATGGAGGGAGAAGGCGCAGGGAAACAGTGGAATGGAGGGAGAAGGCGCAGGGAAACAGTGGAATGGAGGGAGAAGGCGCAGGGAAACAGTGGAATGGAGGGAGAAGGCGCAGGGAAACAGTGGAATGGAGGGAGAAGGCGCAGGGAAACAGTGGAATGGAGGGAGAAGGCGCAGGGAAACAGTGGAATGGAGGGAGAAGGCGCAGGGAAACAGTGGAATGGAGGGAGAAGGCGCAGGGAAACAGTGGAATGGAGGGAGAAGGCGCAGGGAAACAGTGGAATGGAGGGAGAAGGCGCAGGGAAACAGTGGAATGGAGGGAGAAGGCGCAGGGAAACAGTGGAATGGAGGGAGAAGGCGCAGGGAAACAGTGGAATGGAGGGAGAAGGCGCAGGGAAACAGTGGAATGGAGGGAGAAGGCGCAGGGAAACAGTGGAATGGAGGGAGAAGGCGCAGGGAAACAGTGGAATGGAGGGAGAAGGCGCAGGGAAACAGTGGAATGGAGGGAGAAGGCGCAGGGAAACAGTGGAATGGAGGGAGAAGGCGCAGGGAAACAGTGGAATGGAGGGAGAAGGCGCAGGGAAACAGTGGAATGGAGGGAGAAGGCGCAGGGAAACAGTGGAATGGAGGGAGAAGGCGCAGGGAAACAGTGGAATGGAGGGAGAAGGCGCAGGGAAACAGTGGAATGGAGGGAGAAGGCGCAGGGAAACAGTGGAATGGAGGGAGAAGGCGCAGGGAAACAGTGGAATGGAGGGAGAAGGCGCAGGGAAACAGTGGAATGGAGGGAGAAGGCGCAGGGAAACAGTGGAATGGAGGGAGAAGGCGCAGGGAAACAGTGGAATGGAGGGAGAAGGCGCAGGGAAACAGTGGAATGGAGGGAGAAGGCGCAGGGAAACAGTGGAATGGAGGGAGAAGGCGCAGGGAAACAGTGGAATGGAGGGAGAAGGCGCAGGGAAACAGTGGAATGGAGGGAGAAGGCGCAGGGAAACAGTGGAATGGAGGGAGAAGGCGCAGGGAAACAGTGGAATGGAGGGAGAAGGCGCAGGGAAACAGTGGAATGGAGGGAGAAGGCGCAGGGAAACAGTGGAATGGAGGGAGAAGGCGCAGGGAAACAGTGGAATGGAGGGAGAAGGCGCAGGGAAACAGTGGAATGGAGGGAGAAGGCGCAGGGAAACAGTGGAATGGAGGGAGAAGGCGCAGGGAAACAGTGGAATGGAGGGAGAAGGCGCAGGGAAACAGTGGAATGGAGGGAGAAGGCGCAGGGAAACAGTGGAATGGAGGGAGAAGGCGCAGGGAAACAGTGGAATGGAGGGAGAAGGCGCAGGGAAACAGTGGAATGGAGGGAGAAGGCGCAGGGAAACAGTGGAATGGAGGGAGAAGGCGCAGGGAAACAGTGGAATGGAGGGAGAAGGCGCAGGGAAACAGTGGAATGGAGGGAGAAGGCGCAGGGAAACAGTGGAATGGAGGGAGAAGGCGCAGGGAAACAGTGGAATGGAGGGAGAAGGCGCAGGGAAACAGTGGAATGGAGGGAGAAGGCGCAGGGAAACAGTGGAATGGAGGGAGAAGGCGCAGGGAAACAGTGGAATGGAGGGAGAAGGCGCAGGGAAACAGTGGAATGGAGGGAGAAGGCGCAGGGAAACAGTGGAATGGAGGGAGAAGGCGCAGGGAAACAGTGGAATGGAGGGAGAAGGCGCAGGGAAACAGTGGAATGGAGGGAGAAGGCGCAGGGAAACAGTGGAATGGAGGGAGAAGGCGCAGGGAAACAGTGGAATGGAGGGAGAAGGCGCAGGGAAACAGTGGAATGGAGGGAGAAGGCGCAGGGAAACAGTGGAATGGAGGGAGAAGGCGCAGGGAAACAGTGGAATGGAGGGAGAAGGCGCAGGGAAACAGTGGAATGGAGGGAGAAGGCGCAGGGAAACAGTGGAATGGAGGGAGAAGGCGCAGGGAAACAGTGGAATGGAGGGAGAAGGCGCAGGGAAACAGTGGAATGGAGGGAGAAGGCGCAGGGAAACAGTGGAATGGAGGGAGAAGGCGCAGGGAAACAGTGGAATGGAGGGAGAAGGCGCAGGGAAACAGTGGAATGGAGGGAGAAGGCGCAGGGAAACAGTGGAATGGAGGGAGAAGGCGCAGGGAAACAGTGGAATGGAGGGAGAA